AGACTTTGTTTTGTCTTTGGAGAGTGGTGCATCCTCCTCAAGTGCAGAAGCTCGTTGTTGTTGGAATGAGTCTATTGAGATATTATTTCCTACAGGTTTTTCTGTTTTGTTTACACGGTGCGTTGAGAGGCGGGCGTCTCTTGGCGAGGGTGCGTATTTTTGGTGATTTGTTGTGGGAGGTTTTCCTTCGAGGCGAGTAACGACGCCCTCTTGGCCAATCCCGAACGGGTTACAGCTCGGCGGCTCTTCCGATTGGGTACACCGCGCAGAGGCAGGAGGTCGGCCAATTGAATTTGCATGCGCGCAGCTGGAAGGTGCAGAAGCTCGTGTCGGTGGCCTTCCAACCCCGGCGGTACAACATGGCGCTCGTCGCGATTGGCGTACGCACATACACCGAACGCAATGTTTGGGACCGTCCGTTGCCGAATGTACATTGTACAATATACAATATGTTTTCATTGAATCTTGTTCGCGTCAATACATGTAATCAACAAAGTGAAGTGAGGTTACCAAAACAATGCTAAACAAAAACAATGCTAAACAAAAGCCATAAGCCTTTTGATTTTCGAACAAGCGCCAAATGGCTCCCGCGGACAGCTCCCGCGGACTTGATTGAACTTGACATCAACCGAATACAATGGCTGCTTGCCGACGACATCGATGACCCAACAGATTCCACTGGGAGGAGTCGTCTTGCCTGCTGAAACAATATATGCATATGAGTACAGTAGGCAAGAACTCTTGGATCTACTGTTGGTACTGGACGCAAAAAGGACGGAGGAGACGACAGAAATTAATTTACAACCCCTCCCACTCGTGAAATATTTGGCGGCAAACGCAAATCGTCAGCTTATATGGAGGTTGTGGTAGAAATGGCCTCCAGATTTAGTATTCATTTACTTGCCTGAGCTTCAGCGCACAGGCGTCCCCTTGCCAGGGCACTCAGTATATCATTTCAATTGCGTTGATTGGTCAAATGTCGGAGGAGTCGAAAATCAGTTCGCTAACCATCGAAGTCAACTCGGCTTGGGCTTTATCGTGTTCAGTGGGATTGGGTTGTTGCGACATCGCAATAAATGTTTCACTGCCCATATTTCCCTTGATTTTTCCCTTGGCTTGTCGCCACCGATCATTTTATGGTGTGTGCAACAGCGGTGTTCAACACACATGGTTCTCTCGCGCCGTAATTACCTTTCAAAGTATGTTTCGCGTCGCCTTGGACGGTAGAATAGACGATAACGTTGTGTGGAGACGAACACCTTGAAAGACTCAATTGGCTTTCTTTGTAGGTGTGTAGGTACAGCAGCCCTTTTCAACGCGTATGTACGATGTGGTAAATCTGCTCGCATTGTTGTTCCACCATATGTACTATCTAAGCGAATTCAATTGCGATGCAAGCCAATCAGAACAGTTATGGTTACAAGGCTACATTCCGACGCCACCGAGAGTGGTCAAATGCTCGACTGGATTCCTCGCTGCCCACACCATAGATTGCTATCAGCTCGTGCATGGAAGAGCCAAGTTGAGCTCACGTCCACTCCACAAGGGCTGGTTGATCCTGGTCGTGTCGGCTGCGTTGCAGCCGTCCTGTCACCCAATGTACCGGTATATTTGCTGCTGATGGCTGCGGAGCACTGAACGCTTGACGCGGCTGCATACTTGCCAACCAAGGCGCAAAACTTTAAAAAATGTAATGAAAATGCTGCCGTCTATTCTCCCATAATATGCGCACCGCATGGCGTGGCCAGTCTCACGTAATGCGGCTCCACGCCAGTCCCTTCACCAACATGTGGTGCCCGGCTATCAGGCTTCGGGCTGATAGCAACCACGCACCTCGGCCACCCCAAACGTGATTCACTTTTCATTTGTTGACGATGCGATCCCTCCTCCTCTGCGCCCTCTCCTTGTTGGTTGCGCTCGCCGCCGCGCGGGACGGGTGCTACAACACCAAGGACGTGCATGAGACGCTTGTGATTTCGAGTGGGTCCGGGTCGCCCGACTGCGTCACCAACAACAAGCTCCTCTTGGTGAACGGGTCCTTCACGGGCCCGACGTTGACCATGCACAAAGGCGACAAGCTCCACTTGACGATCGTGAACGAGCTCGACTCGATGTTCTCGATGCACATCCACGGCGCGACCCAGTTCGGTACGCCCTTCTCGGACGGCGCCGCCGGCATCAACGCCATTCCGATGCAGCCCCACTCGAGTGTGACGCGTTCGACTGTCATGCACGAGGCCGGCACGTTCTTCTACCACGCGCATCTGAAGCTTATGGACATGCACGTCTACGGCGCGCTCATCGTCAAGGAACACGGCGAGAAGTATGACGACCTCGTTTTGATGCTCTCCGACTACTGGCACGCCGACCTCGATACGCTTCATTACGGTCTCCTCGACGCCCCGGCCTTTCAATTCGTCGGTTTTCCCCAAGCGTTCTTGACCAACGGCCGCGGCAACGTCGGCAACTGCTCGTCGGGCGTTGACACGAGCTTGATGACGCTGCGTGTCAAGCCCCGTACGACGTACCGGCTGCGCATCATTGGCGGCACGTCGCTCTTTGGCGTGCATTTTCGCATTCCCGAGCACAAGCTCACGATCGTCGAGATTGAGGGCACCAAGGTGGCGCCGAAAGCTGTCGACTACGTCGAGGTGCTCCCTGGCCAGCGCTACACGGCCCTCCTCACGACGGACCAGCCCGTCGACAATTACTTTATGCAAATCGATGGCCGGTGGCGCGCCGGCGCCCCCCGCAACGGCCTCTCGGTGCTCCAGTACGAAGGTGCGCCGAGCGCGCCGACGTCGCCGTCGACGCTCCTTCCGTATGTGACCGAGACGGTCAATTTTATGGACCAGTTTGAACCGACGACGCGCTTGAACATGCCGGCGACCGCGGATGTCATTGTGCACCTCCAAGGCAAGCAGATCGCGTTCGGTGCCGATGGCAAGCAGCGCCGGTGGGCCATGAACAACATCACGTATGTCAAACAAATGACGACGAGTGTGCTTGAAGCTGTCATCGCCAACCAGCTTGGCGCGCTGCCCGACAACTCGCGGCCGTCAACGAGCATCACGAAAGGCCAGGTCGTCGACGTCGTCTTGGAGAACGCGGTCGCACTCAACGGCGTCTGCGAGATGCATCCGTGGCACCTCCACGGCCACAGCTTTTGGGTTGTCGGTGCTGGTGCGGGTGCATACGATGCGGCCGCACCCTCTGCAGCCAAGCCCTTCAAGCGCGACGTCGTTGGCGTCTACCCGTACCACGCAGCGTACAACCAGCCAGTGGGCACCGCGGGGGCGCCGTGCGGCTGGACGCGCATTCGGTTTGTCGCTGATAACGTTGGCGTCTGGCCGCTCCACTGCCACGTGGCGTCGCATTTCGACATGGGCATGGCCACAGTGTTTGTTGTTGGCGAAGACGACCTTCATAACCCCGAGATTGTCGCCGCGCTCCGTGCTGCTTCGGCATGAAAGTCGTATAGTTATGAATAATACCAGTTCCTTCAAGTACATTTGCGTTGATAAACCTTCTTTCAAGTACCAGTACTTGGTGGTGTTGTGGTTTTGGAGGGATCGGCACGCTTGGTCCTTTGAGACCGAGTCGTTGACACCGACATGTGAGCCATGTAAGCGATGATGCAAAGCGCAACCCTCGATCACTAATTGACCGACTAACTGACTATGGAGAGCGCAGTCCGAAGCGATGC